TCAAAAACAAACTCAGTGAATGAAACATCCTCGAGCTTCCACTAACTACCTAATTAAAATTTTTAAATGCATGATGGATGGATGCATAAATTAAATGGTCTTTCTATTGTTGTTTTCATCTACTTAGGAAAAATCCAAGGAAAATCAAACAAGTGGCGCCTTGAAAAATTTCCTAACTGAATTAAATATCTACATAAAGTATCAAGTTATTGTAGGTTCAGGAACTTTTCAGCACATTTCAAGCTTATTTTTAGTAAGAGTCAATAAAATCTATGTTTAGTTGAAGAGAAAGATTGAATAATAGAATAAAATAATTAATGAAAAATATTTTTCTTTATGAAAATTTTTCAATGATTTTGTTTGTAAAGAATTTAATTTATCAAACATTCCATGAATAATAGGAAAATTTTCAGTTAAGCTTTAAACGAGAATTCTTCAAGTGCAACCCATAAAAATTTTGAAATTGATGAGATGAGCGCCGAGAGAAGAGAAGAAAATTATTTTAGATTTTTTCCTTGCGAAAAACCTGTGAAACGCGTTTGAAGAAGCCTTTACATTTGTGAAATCTGCCAGACTTTCCATTCATTTCGTTGTCTCTTGAATGTGTAGCTTGCTTTGAAGTGTTAATGGGATTAGGCATGTCTAATGTCGTAACAGCTGTGTTAAAGCTTTGCTCATCAGTTGAATATGTTGCCATTCCCAAAGGGGCTCGATTGTAGCCTATCTGAATATCATTATGATCATCAAATGAAACATTTTCATCCATCCATACTGAGCTTGATACATTTTGAAGATTTTGAGTTGGAATTTCGAGCTGTTGATTGATAAAAAGGATGAATTAAACTCAATAAATGAACAGAACTTCTTACCTTGTTCGAGTATCCATCATCGTCAAAATCTTTTGCATATCGTGTGGATAGAAATTGAAAATTTTGTTCATTTCTTTTCATCTTTTTCGAGGCATGTCTGTTAGTTAGTGTCGTGGTTGGGAGTTCTTCAATGCCATTTGCTTTTAAATTGCACATGAAACCTAAATCATGATTTGAGACTAATTTTGATTTCTTTTCAACATCATCTTGACTGAGTGTTGTTAAATCATCAGAAGGTAAATATCGACGAAGATTTGACTTTTCTATATCAGAGGCATCATTTTCTTCGCTTATTTCTTCGATTGGATCAAGTAGATTTGAAGATCTTGGCGATACATTTTTGTACTTAGAAGAAGAAACTTCGTCAGCTTGTTGGATGAATCCAAGTTTTCCTTTAACTATCTTGAATTGATGTCCAGAAATGTCCAAAGTTGCTTTTTCAGTGTCGTCTTCAGATGACTGAGATTCAATTATGTCATCATTATCATCATGAATGGTCCACTTATTATCTACTTTGAGAATGTTTCTCGGATATTCATCTTTAGGAACANAAAATTTTCACTCACCATTCTGATGTGTGTTTTCTAGATTGCTTTGGACTCAACAACTCCGGATCAAGTTATACAACCGACTAACGATTTCGATCTGAACGATTCTATTTGATGAAAGCGAAACATTTTTACAAATTTTATTTTGCTTCGTCTTCGGTACTGTTCGTGATTTTTTTTCTTCATTCTCGTCTATTAAAATTTCGTGAAAATTTAAAAATATTTTTCACGTTCAACGGAGGAAAATCAATAAGAAGTTTCACGAATATCGTCGGTATTTTCTTTCATTTACAACCAGACACGAACTCTCCCGCATCTTACGTAGATTGTGATAAAAATCATGAATCAAACGATGTGAAAAGCCTTCGACTCTAAATTTAGTCAGTCCGTGCCGCGATGTCGGTTTCTTTTCTTGTGATGTGATGAGAGCAAGACGGGAGTTGAACGAAAAATTCCTCAGATTTACAAATACTTTTGAACAGGTAGATTTTTATATCCTCCGCACAATATTAAAGTATGAATAATGAACGCATGAATCATGTTTAATGTAATTGCCTTTGAGTTTCCTCTCTGGAAAATCATCTGAGAGAAACTTCATCATAATCATGATCAACGATTAAATTATTTCTATCTTAAGTGATCTCAATAATCGACTGCTGAGATGACTGAACAATGACGTAGAATCCCAGAAAATTTCCTTGATATTATTTATATTCAAAATTCTAAACACCATCAACAAAAGTCTAAATAAATTTGAAGACTATTCATCAATCTTTCCATTAACAATCTCCTGTCTCTATCTACTTCATGATAATCTTTTTAAAAATCGCTGTCAGTCGCTCAGATGCTATTTTCATGGCGTTTTTGTAGTGACGACTTGTTCGAAAATATTTTTTATGTGTGTGGCTGTGAGGTTAACGAAAGAAAAGAAAATTGCCAGAAAAAAAAGATAAGAAAAACATTGGAAGAAGTCAGTCAAAATATCAATTAAAACTTAACAAAATTATTGCCGAATCCAATCAAAGTGTTCTTGAAAAACAAACTCAGTGAATGAAACATCCTCGAGCTTCCACTAACTACCTAATTAAATTTTTTAAATGCATGATGGATGGATGCATAAATTAAATGATCTTTCTATTGTTGTTTTCATCTAGGAAAAATCCAAGGAAAATCAAACAAGTGGCGCCTTGAAAAATTTCCTAACTGAATTAAATATCTACATAAAGTATCAAGTTATTGTAGGTTCAGGAACTTTTCAGCACATTTCAAGCTTATTTTTAGTAAGAGTCAATAAAATCTATGTTTAGTTGAAGAGAAAGATTGAATA